GAAGAGTGGTGGGATAGAGGAGAAAGAAGGAGGGAAGATTGGAGGATAGAGTACAAAAAGAAGGGTTGGAAGAAGGGGAAAGAGAGAGGAAGGACAATTACGAAGGGGGAATAAGAAAGAAGCTGAGGAGGAGAGTAAGAAATACATGGAAGAGAAAGATGGAAAATGGAGCAAGGGATAGAGTCCAGAAAAAAGTAGAGAAAAAAGAAGAAGGAAGAGTAAAGGAAAGAGAAGAGGAGGAGGAATTGTGAGACAAAAGAGGAGAAAGTTTGTATTACCTCGAGGAAAAAAAAACGAAGGCGAAGGCGAGAAAGAATCAAGGGGGGACTGATTTAGAAAATAAAAGACGCTAAAAATAGAGAAAACACGGTAAATTCCCCGAAAGAAAGACAACTGAAGGAGGAAGTATCCTTAAAATAGATTCAGATTTATGCTATTTAATGGCATTATCCTTAAATCCATTTATATTTGTCTTTATATGTGTATGTGTGAGAGACACGCCGTGGAGAAAGAACAAAGCGGAAAAGACTTTCGGCATATTTCTTGTTTTTTCCTTCGCTGTTTTATTTACGACAAGGACGAGTTTGTGTGTGTGTGTGCGCGCGGCGCGCGCGCGCTGTGTGTGTGTTGGTGTATGTGTGTGTGTGTGTGTGTGTGTGTGTGTGCGCGTATGTGTGTGGTGTATGTGTGTGTGTGTGTGCGTGTGCGTGTGTGTGTGTGTGTGTGTGTGTGTGTGTGTGTGTGTGTGTGTGTGTGTGTGTGTGTATGTTGTGTGTGTGTGCGTGTGTGTGTGTGTGTGGTGTGTGTGTGTGTGTGTGTGTGTGTGTGGTGTGTGCGCGTGTGTGTATAAATGTGGGTGTTTCCGTGATTGTCTGTGTAGAGCATGTTTTGTGTGCACTTCTTTCGTGTATGTGGGTATGTCCCTCTTGTTATGTGTGTATGTGTGTGTATGTGTCTGTGAATGGGTTGTTGGTTAATTAGGTATGGGGGTGCATGCGCGCGCGTGTGTGTGTGTGTGTGTGCGCGTGCGTGTGTGCGTGCGCTCATGGAAGATAAGTGAGGCCGTAAAACTGCATTAATAGATGTACCCTTTATGCGCCTCAGATCACGGACTTAGATATCCACTTTTTATCTTTGTGTGAGTTCTATCTTCCGCCTTTTATCTTATCTTTATATGGCTTCTAGAATTATCTACTCGTCCCTCTTTACTTATATACGTATGTGTGTGTGTGCCTGTGTATGTGTATATGTAGATAAGTATGTAAATGTATGTTTACACACACATACACATATACATACACTTTTATTTCCTCATTTTATTTACATTCATTGATTTAATACTATTTTTTTTCTTCTGTCTTATTCATTCTCCTACTTTACTTTCTTTTGGTTATCCTCAATCTTGGTGTGTTATAACTATTCCTCCTCCTCGCCCTCCCTCTCCCTCCTCCTCCTCCTCCTCCTTTCTCTCCTCCTCCTCTCCTCTTCCTCCTCCTCCTTTCTCTCCTCCTCCTCTCCTCCTCCTTCTCCTCATATCCCCTTCCCTTCCCTCTCCTCTCCCTCTCCCCCTTCTCCTCCTCCTCAGCTTCATTTTATCACCTTCTTCCCCGTTTTGTCATTCCCTTATCTTTTTCTTCTCTCTCTCCCTTTCCTCCTTCTCCTCCTCCTCCTCCTTCTCTATTCTTTTCTTTTCCTCTTCTTTTCTTCTCCTTCCTCCTTTTCCTTTTCCGGGTCTCTTACTGCCCGACAGCTGCAAAAGCCTCTTAGCGTCATATATCAGATAATTATAAATTCATTGTTATTATTTAGTATATCCTGTTTGTACCTCCTCGCTCTCGTCTCTCTCTCTCTCTCTCTCGAGTTCGTTCTCTCTCTCTCTCTAGTTTTTCGGATGTCGCTCAATCTTCCCATCTTCTCTGCTCCTATCTCTGCGTTCTCTCTCTCTCTCGTCCACTGTCTCTTTNAGCATTTCCTGGTGTTTGGGAATGGCAGCGGCGCCTGAGTCTTCTGCGCCGCGGCCTCGCACTGACGCTGTCTCCCGCAGGCGAGATCCTGGCCAAGGACCTGGAGTGCTCCTTCAGCGAGGTGGCGGCGTCCGAGCAGGTGCACCAGGTGGCCAGCGCCTTCCACGAGCTCTTCCGGGAGGTGCAGAACGTGCGCAAGCGCAGCAAGACGTCGCTGCTGGACCGCGTGCTGGGCGCCAAGGCCACGCGCATCTACGTGCGCGGCAAGAGCGACTCCGCGCTGCCGAAGGACTGACTATTGAAGCTCATGTTGTAGGGAACTTCAGAACTCTGCCGCTTCTGACGAAGGGCGCTACGCCTCGGGGTGTCGGACGCCCGACGTCCTCGCGAGCGGCCTCTCCCCAAGCTGAGGACGAAACGGGGCGGGGCAGCACAGGTGGCACTTGTCATGAGGATGATCGAATGTGTCAAGTCTGTCATGACAAAAGAGCCATGGTCGTCATCTGTCATTTAAGGTTATAAAAGAAAAATATATCAATTTCATAGAAAAATTCATCGTATTAAATACATATATTTAATGACCTCCAAAATATTGAGGTCACCGCGACCTGTCATGACATGGGTCAGGCCCGTCTTCACGCAATCCCCAAGAGGTCTTGACCAATCTAAATCTGCCGTCAACCGGGGCCGGCCAGTTGCTTCGTCCGCGGGCCAGGGCTACGGCTCGAGGGTCGAGAGCGCCGCCACAGTGCCATGCATTGGTGTGCAGAAATAATGGTGCCCGATATCTTTGTTATTTAAACTATCGGACAATATATATATATATATA